ATCATGGATTACAAAAAATTCTATCATGGGTTACAAAAAAAAAACAAAAAACAAAAAATTCGATCATGGATTACAAGAAAAAAAAACAAACATTTCGATCATGGATTACAAAAAATTCGATCATGTTTTACAAAAAATTCTATCATGGGTTACAAAAAAAACAAAAAACAAAAAATTCGATCATGGATTACAAAAAAAAAAAAACAATTCGATCATGTATTACAAAAAAATCGATTAAATGTTACAAAAAAATCTATCATGGATTAAATAAAAAATAAATAAATAAATAAAATATATATATATATATATATTTCATACGGGACTCGCCGATTCCGTACAGTGAATCGGCGAGTCACTGTGCAGAATCGTCCGGTTCTAGACAGAATCTTCCGGTTCTCTCTAGAACCGGACGATTCCCATTTTTTTCGCCGATTCGATCCGTCCATGGCGATTCCCGAGTCGAACCGAGCGAGTCCGGTTCGACTCGGCGTTTTTTTAAACAATGACTAGAAGTATACCAAAAGTAGATGTCCCTTTGCATACTTTTGCTTTTCTAAATATATTCTACCGAAGTATCGGGAGGCCAGGTTTAATTACTATTATTATTTATTTTCTATTTTTTCAGATTTTGTTCATTTTATTTACTTATCAGAGGGCATGCCCATTGACGCATATAAGCGATTTCATTCACTCTCTCTGGTTGAGTTTTCTTTTTTCACTCTCTCTCTCTCCCTCTCTTAAATTGGTTTTTCTAATTTTGGATCGAGTTTTTCTTCCCCCATCTCTTGGATTGGATCTTTTACATATTAATTGTGAAAAAATTTAGAATTTTAAGCTCTAAAAGGCGTGTATATTTCATCCTACAATTAAGTATTCATGGATTGGTAAGATGTTTACTATTTTGTGAATTTCAAAATTTATTATCGGTGCTGGAAATTGATTTCCAAACGATCATTTGAAGTGAAGCTTTAGTTTGTTTCATAAAGCCTAGACCCTATAAAAACTTCATAATATGTTTTGTTACCGTGTTTCTTTTGTTACAAGGTACTCAAGCCTGGCGAAGGCGAGTTACTCGGACGAGTCCAAATAACTCATCGGAGTTGAGCTCATATATTATTTTAAAAAAACAAAGAGAAATTTTTTTTATATATAATATGAATGTCACTTTTATTAATAAAAACAATAGACTAGTGTGTTGGTTAGCCCTATCTACATAAATACACCTTGTAGACTGGGGCAAAATTTATACATTAGGGTTATCCAGTAAACCATTTGAATACAACTAACATAAGTTTGAGGTAGTAATATAATTAACCTTGAAAAATAGGTTGTACAACTTACTCGCCCCAAACTCGCCGTGCCCACCGAGTTACTCGGCTGAGTCCAAGTGGCCTAGGCCGAGTATATGTATCGCTATAAAAAATGTTCATACAAGGTATCAACTTTTATGTAGAAGTAAGGTACACCTTGAAGATCTACCCAAAAAGGTTGTTTTGATGTCCAAAAATCATGTAATCTCGATGCATATGAATATGAAATAAAGTATTTCAAGTCTTAAAAATAATACATCTTGTAACATATTATCCAAATCACCCATTACAAAAAACTTTAAGTATTTTATAGCAGTGTTATCAAGATTGGACTGGTCACTAAATTGGTTAGGGGTTTAGTATAGAGGTTTAGTACAGACAAAGTCCGATCCAAACACTAGTCAAACCGATTGGATCAAATTTCAAAGAAAAATAATTATAATAGTTCACAAAGATAAATATATTAAAAATTTTGCCCAACTTCATTTTGCTAATAAAAAATTTGCCCAACTTCATTTAGATGGTCGAACTTGTTAAAATCGACTGGTTTGACAGGCCAAAATTGATTAAACATTAACTTAATTTATTTTTTGGACAAAATCGGTTTTTATCTTAAACCAGACGACCAAAAATAGTAATCGGCAATGTAACCGGCCGGGCCACCAATTCGATCCAGTCTTGATAATTGATATGCTCGATTTACACCATTTCTGGAGCTTAAAATTTTTAGTTAGGGGTGAAAGTAGATTTTTAGGCCATCTTAAGGGTCTTAGAAAACGAAATTTCATTTCATAGCTAGGGGTGAAAATAGTTTTTAGTTAATCATAAGGGTTTTCGACAATCTCTTTTTAACAAGATTTAGAGGTGCCCCTTAACTCTGATTGTCTAAGAGGATAATAACATTATACAAACCCCACCCTTTAGATTTGTACATCACAAAATTAGATCTAAGCAGTAACACAAACACATATAGGTGCCCCTCAACTTTGATTGTCTAAGGATAATAACATCATACAAACCCCACCCTTTAGATTTGTACATCACAAGTTTAGATCTAAGCAGTAACGCAAACACATATATCTTGCTTTATTTTATTTTATTTTTTTTGGGCAGGCCCCTACCATTAAGCAGTAACGCAAACACATATATCTTGCTTTATTTTATTTTATTTTTTTTGGGCCCTACCTTTTATATTTTGAAGGTGTTAATTGGGGGGTGTACCATTTAGATTTGTACATCACAAGATTAGATGTAAGCAGTAACACAAACACATATATCTTGTTTTATTTTTTATTTTATTTTATTTTTTTTGGGCAGGCCCCTATTTTTTATATTTTGAAGGTATTATTTTATTTTTTATTTTATTTTATTTTTTTTGAGCACGCCCCTACCTTTTATATTTTGAAGGTGGTAATTGAGGATGTGCGGTAAGAATGGATACCACGATGTAGTAACTGGGTGTGGGGATGCTACCGACCGCGGTCACTTTCCTACATACATCTTGCCTTACAACTTCGTAGTAAAACACAAGCAATGATAGCATCTCA